AATTGGTAGGTCCCTCATTGCTGGGTTTAATCTGGCCAATTGGGTGCAGTCTAAATGGACCGAGGCACCTATATATACCTACGCACATGACCCAGAGCTCTTCTCTTTCACCTCGTTCATTGGAACACCCACCCACCTCTCCCTACTTTAGGGCATTTTGTGAGTGACCTTGCTATGCCGAAATGTGTCGTTTGTCGTTGGGTCAGGGGCACGGCAGGAATTTCCCCCACTTGGCTGATTGGCTCTTGCCATTTGGGTTTCGCTTGCCCCGCAGCAATCATCACAACTTGTAAGGCTGCAGGTAGGCACTGGCTCAGGTGATCGCCATCCCTATGTGAAGGGTATTCCTTTAAAGGAATCCTGTGCCTGAGCTCTGGGTCAGCACTACTTGCAAGGGTGCAGGGAGCTAGTCGAACCAGAGCCTATGCAACCACTCACTTTTCTGTAATCAATAACGTTGTGGCCTAAATTCTGTAAAAAACCCAAACTAAAATTTGAGTCAATTGTGTGTTTATTTAGGGGGGCGGTCTCTGGGTCTGAACACGCAACTGCGTCTTCGCAATATGTTAAAAAAGCAAATAATAATAAAAAGAGAAGAAACAAAAGATAAAACTGGAGAATTGCACGAGGAAGGGGGGGATAATGGGAAGCTTTTGGGGGTTGTTTCCCCCCCCCAATGCCAGCTGGCTTTAAACCATTCTTGCTGTTGCTTGTTTGAATTTTCAGGTTGCTTGCCTCTCTGTAGTCAGATCCTGGATAAATGCTTCTGTGTTGTTGCATTTTTAGTGGTGAAATAATAGATGTGTACAGGTCAGATGGAATACCAGCAATTATCCGTTTGTGTGGAGTATGTTTTCCGGGTCATTACATGAATCAGTAGTCTCACGTAAACTTGTTCTGCCCCTGTTCCACACCCTTTCAGGGCCAAAAATGATGCGTGCATTCGCAGTCACAGGTCCATCAGGCACAAACAAAATTCTCACCGCCTGTATACTTAATTGCAACCAATTAAGGCAGCCACTCATAAAGGCCTTGTGGGTTGGTTGCTGATGTGCTAGATTTGGTGGTAAGTTGGCAGGATACTAACGCAAGTGAAAGAAGAGGCTGAGCTTTTTTTCCAGCCAGAACTCACCGAAACTCAGTTCTGGCACCTCTCAGGTGGCTGCCATTGCTGTTTTAAGAGAACAAAACAGGCGTTCATGAAGAGTTCTGATACCTCTTTTTTTTTTTTAAAGTACTGAGAAGGGGCTTTGGGCTGGATCCTTGGTGGCAATGGGCAGGAAGAGGGGCCCCCTCCTAGTGATCCTGTGGGATTCCCCAGGAATGGTGCACAACATGGGAGCTTCCGTAACTAAGGGTTATGTTTCACCACTTTCTTTTCCACTTTGAAGGAACTCTTGTCTGTTCAGATTAAGGAGTATGAATGAATTTGAATATTAGAATTAAAATGCACTAATAAAAGTACTATATTGCATTGATCATAACGTAGTGGCTGAAACCTCATTTTCCAGCACCCAATGTTTAATAAAAGTTTGCTTTTGAAATTGTCTGTGTTGTGATTTTCTGGGTTAAAAACTGTTTAGGCACATTTTCAGGACCCCATATGTTTGACTCACAAAAGAGATCCGCCTCTCATACGTGTTTTTAGAGATCCATGGGTAAATTATGTGTACATGAATCAACTTACACTCCCTGGGCATCAAAATAATAGCATAGCCAAAAATCTTACTGCTATTAAGTATGTATCCTCTCCCTCCCTCCTTCCCTCCATTCCATATTGGTACATCTGGACTACATTATGATGTGGAAGCCTGAACTGAATGATAGGTGTTAAGTTGTGGGTGAACGTGTCAGACGACACAGCGATTCTTCCAAAGCAGCTCTTTATTTGTAAGCTGGAACAGAACTGAACTGAAGAGCTCAGTCAGCCTGCTTATATAGAGCTCCAGATCAACGTAACTGTAGCAACTTTCTAAAACTATCCAATCACTGAATGTCACTTTCGATCCTTCATTTGCATACAAACTATCCAGTCACTGAACGTCACTTTCAATCCTTCATTTGCATAACTATCTACAGTATCCCCCTGCTGGCCCAGGGTGAGAACTTCAGTACATAATAATAGGGGTCTGTTAATAGGAAGGAAATTAAATAAAGGAGAAGGCTGCATGTGAAATCCTTCTAATTCCTGAATCCAGCAAGTGTTAAAATATAAGCCAGGCTACCTTCCTGTGTAGAGGTGATTGCCTCGGTGATGGGCCATTAGGAGAACAAAGGAAAGGGGGCTCTGTGCGAGACAGGAAATGGTTGGGCCCTTCCTTCAGCTGGTTGAAAGGACAAATCCTGGGTTTAGTTTGCAGATATGTGACCTAGAAATAAATCAGCAAGCTGGAGAAAGTGTCAGAGAGCAATGTTTGATGTCTTTTTTTAATCCAAAGCTAAAGCTAAGAGAAAAAATAGGCTTTTTAGGGGTGTTAATGCTGTGAACCCCTCCATCGTAGGCTCAGGTAGTATACAGTATATGTCTAAATAAACCATATATCTTAAAACAGCCCTTCATCCGGCGGCAGGATCGGACCTACAGGCACGGTGCAGCCTTTTACTGGGCCACAGGGCAGCCTTCTGGCCCCCCCACCTCTAGCTTCAGGCCTTCTTAGGCCTCCTGTGGCTACAGCCATTTCCCCCCAGTATCAGGTATGAATTGGGGCCACACGGCCTACTTCTGGGCTGCTTGGCAGCCTATTTAGGCCTTCTACAACTGGCACTGCTTGCAAGGGTGTGTTGTTGTTTTTTATTCGGAGGGCTCACTGGGGTCTCCTCCAGTCCCTTCCCTCCCACCCTTGGCCTACTGTTTATACATTTGGCTTTGGGGGTGAAATTCTTGCTGCTAACTTATTGCACGTACGTAGGTTGCTGGTTGCTGTCTCTTAATTAATAGGCTAGTGCCTTGTGTGGAGTGTTGGGAGTTTAACAACAGTTCCTGTACACAGGACAGGTGCCGTTTTCCCATTGTGCGAGCACTGCAGTAGCTCGCATCCCCAGACTAAATGTTCTTGGGCAAGGCTCTCTTTTCGCAGCTTTCACAGCACAGGAGGCAAAAATAGACTGAAGGATCCAGAAGTGGCCCAAGGAGTGTCGAAGGCAGGAGCCCAACACTCAAGAGGCGCCATGCAGAAGTAACCCCCTTTTTCTCCCTAGCCCCCTCCCCTGTTTCTCTTGCCACCATGCTGTCCCTGTGGGAAGCTTATCCCAACAGGGAGGCAGAAAAATACCTTGAGGCAGGATTTCACAACGACTGCCGCTTTCCTGTTCCGGTTTGCCTGTTTCTAGGAAAAAAACACCACCACCACCACCACCCCATCAAAAGCCATTGCACTTCGCATCTGGGAAAACCATTCCCGAAATTCCAGGGTTTGTTTCTGGTGGACAATAAAGCGGTGATGGAGCGGTTCCATGAACTGGCACCCAAGGCAGCACAGACACCAGACGCCTTGCCCTTTGACTTTTGTTGCAAGTGTGCCCAGCATAGAAGTCTGGGTTGTGGGGCATAGCATCTCTCACTGGGCCACGATCCTCGTTGCCTCGCATATGTGGGGACCTAAGCTTGACATCCACCCTAAGGTCCACATACATTGGATGGGACAACGAGGCAAGTGTTGGGATGCGCTGGTGCCCATGCTTCGCAGATCTGCAAAGGTGGACCTAGATAGCGTATGCCCTATGCTTGGCAACGACCATCCTATGGTTTGAACTCCTCCCGCACCAGTGCTGGAGAGGGGCCACTAAACTTTGTATAAGTTTTACCGTGCAAAAAATTTAAAAGGCGATGCATGACACGAGGCACCAAATCGGCGGTGTCTTCATTCAAGTGGCAATTCTGAGCTGTTTTTTGGTGGATGGAGTATATTTGACCCCCAATTGCAACAGACTTTGTTTGAGCAATGTGTGCCAAGGCCTCAGGGATTAGTGAGTGGCAGGGTATAGTCCTTCTTGGTAGGAGAGGGTGTTCAGCTGTAGGTATCTTGGTGGGGAGACCCCAGTTGGGGTCTTGGGTGGCGGTTTTAGGCCTTGGTTGGTATTCTATAGTCTATCTGCGGGTCGGGGGCAGCATATTGATGCACCCCCATGCAGCGGCGTTTGCAGGGCCCATTAAAGGGTTGATGGTGGGAGTCACTGGCCCTAGAGCAGTGGTATATAGGTCAAACTCCCGGCTTTGGTGAAGTGGGAGGGCATGCTGCGTTAGTTAATGCTTTACAGTCCCCTCCCACAACCTGACAGCCCTGCACATCCTCAGCCCCTATTGGGTATGAGAGGGGAAACTTCCAAGGCCTAAGCCAAGGTTCCTACACCTGAATTCAATAAAGTTGTGGTCATAATTTCAAGAGGCCAGTGCTATGATAAACATGTTCCTTTCCTCCCTCTCTTGGGACCAAAGGGTTGTATTTCCAGCATTTCTTCCTTCTTCTTTATTATTGTTAGGCAAAACGACATGGAACTAAGAGGAAATGAAAACTTCTGTTAAGAAAGACACACAAGTGACTATCTTCCCTTTAATTATGAAAAGAACTGTAATTAATGTTCCCGCTGATCAAAGCACTTCATGGATTTGCACAGTACACCTTTGAAGCTAATGAGAAAGTCTGTGAAAGGTACTATAATGGAGACTTTAAAAGCTTGGTGCCCTTGGACTGTTTGGGATTACAACCCCAGCACCTGCAGCCAGCTTTGAATGCTGTGAATTGTAGTCAAAAACATCTGAAGGATACAAGGTTGGAGAAACCTGATAAAAAAAATATCACTTCCAGCCATCATAGCTAGACTTGGGAATCAGAAACCAGCAAGGATCCATCAGTGTCATCACCTTTTTCTTTCCAGTTTTCACAGTCTGCATTTCAGACATATGAGCAGACTAAAAGGCCAATTAGGTCAGACTACTTCAGTCACAAAAGCTGTAATACTCATAGGGGCATCTTAGTGTATAGGGAAAAATTGTACCAAGGATGGTGGGATTATTGGTCTTGCTACTGGTTCTACTTCCTAATGCTATATGCAAACCTCCCATTGTTAAATGCCATGTCCATGATCCTCACTCTCCACTTCATCAGTATCATCAGGAAGGAGACCTCATCATTGGTGGCATAGCCTCTCACAGCATCATCGTCTCCAGTTCAATAGCCTTCACCGAAAACCCCCCACCAACATTGCTTGAAGAGCTAAAGTAAGAACTGGATAATTTCTCTTCTGTATTTTGATTCCTTCTTTGGACCCTGGAGAGATCAGTTTTAGAGGAGTGGTAGTTAAACTGTGGCCCTGCAGTGGTTGTTGGACTCTATCAGTTCCATCAGTAATAATGTACATAGTAGTACAACAACATCAGGTGGGCCACAGTTCTCCGCCATTGTCCTAGAGGCAGAACTACTGTTTGGATGGAAGGAGATGTGTTGTAAGAGAAATGTGGTCAGGAGGCTCTCAACTATTTTCCCCCACTGAATTCAGGTATGATATGAAGACATGTAATATTGTTGTGGAAATAATTGCCCCACTTTTAATTCAGCGCCCCGAGAGAAAGAAATAAGGGAAGGACTTCTATACAGATTATGAAACCAGAATTAAAAATATAGATCAGGGACATTTAAAAGTCTGCACTCCCCTCCCATAGAATTGTCCCCTACATCCCCTTTCTACCATTGTAGGCAAGGAGGAGGATCACTTGTAGTGATATCTGTTCAAGAGTTTCCTGCCCTGCCAAAAAAATGAAGGAAATAATAAAGAATACTAATCAGGATGACGTAGAACTGAGTTGTGATAAATTTACAAAGTGTTACATGCCCTTCTGATAGAAAATGAAAATCTCTTTTTAGAGTGGTGCCAAAGAATTATCAGCACATCCTGGCCTTGCAATTTGCAGTGAAGGAGATCAACGAAAACCCTCAGCTCTTACCCAATGTCACTTTAGGCTTCCGCATCTATGACAGCTATTTCAATGCCAAATGGACCTCTCATGCCACAATGTTACTCATATCCACACTGGAAACATTTGTCCCCAACTACATCTGTGACATCAAGAAAAACTTGATAGCCATCATTGGGGGACTGGACAACCAAATTTCCCTTTATGTGGCAACAATCTTGGATATCTATAAGGTTCCACAGGTGAGGTATGTATCTCTTTGTCAAGTTATGGGAATTTAACACATCCAGATAGATTTGGATAAACCAATGTGCACATTTCAAATAATCAGGTAGGCCATGCTAATGGCAGATCCAAGCTAAGAAATAAAGTCTTGATAACACATAAGTTATTGCTGCAGATGTCCCTGATATATGATGACAGCTAACTGGCAGGTAAGTGTTGCTTGGCTTAGCAAAAATAGCATGCACAGGTGAAATGGTGATGATTGGAAGGCCCAATTTATAATTGCCCCAGTGGTGCTCATAATACACAAGTCTAATATATTACTATTGCTTCTGTCTCTTTCTCCTACTCTCACAACTACGTTTAGCTCATATACGGCCCTGCTCCAGTGATGAATGATAAAACTCCAGGCCTTTTCTTCTACCAGATGACGCCCAAGGAAACCCACGAGTATAAGGGGATCCTGTCTTTGCTTCTGCATTTTAAGTGGATATGGATTGGGATCCTTACTTTCTATGATGAGAATGCAGAAAGATTTGTGCAAACTGTGGTCCCACTTTATTCCCAGAATGGCATTTGTTTTGCCTTCATAGAAAGAAGTCACAAATTTACTTACGTCTCTGAAATTCACGATATGTTCAAACTGGGTGCAAAAATACATGACAAAATAAATGATAGCAAAGCCAATGTAGTCTTGTTTTATGGAGAATCATATGCTGTGGCCTTTTTTAGATGGTATCCTTACCTATCAGAATTGAAACAAAGTTCAAATAAGCCAAAAGGTAAAGTGTGGATCATGACAGCCCAGGTGGAGCTCACTTCTTTTGTCTATCAACGGACTTGGGATACAGAAATACTCCATGGGGTTCTCTCATTCACAACTCACTCAAATGACCCACCAGGATTTCATCAATTTGTCCAGAGCAAAACCCCTACCAGCCCGAAAGGAGATGGCTTCATCTTGGACTTCTGGCAACAGGCATTTGGCTGTGTATTTCCAAATCGAGTGGTTGGCAGTGTGAAGGGGGATATTTGCACTGGGCAAGAGAAGCTGGAGAACCTTCCTGGTCCTTTCTTTGAAATGAGCATGACCAGCCACAGCTACAACATCTACAATGCTGTCTATGCTGTGGCCCATGCTTTACATGCCATGTCTACATCCCGAGGCAAACACAGACCAGTAATGATCAATGGAGGAATAAAGTTTGACAAACAACCACTGCGGCAGGTAATGGGCTGAACACCTTTCCTGAAAGAGGAAAGAGGTTCAAAACATGTTCTGTTTCCTTTTCTATCTATCACTTTGGTAATTGTCACTTTGCTATGCAACCACTGCAGGAGTCACCAATGTGGGTGCAGCAATGCCCTTGAAATCTTCCCCAGCTGCCCAAAGCCACTTCCTCAATTCACTGCCCTTTGACCATGAGATAGTTGCTTTATGTCTCTTGAAATGCAAATAGAGCTACTAGACTTCCCTGGCTATTGACATGAGAGAGACAACTTCACTGTATTCATTAGACACCTGCTTAAAACTTTTTTGTTTAGGCAAGTCTACCCAGAGACATGGGTCTTGATGGATTTTAATCTCTTTTCATTTTACTGCTAATTTTAATTGTTTTAAATCTTTTAAATTTCTTCTTTTATGCTGCTTGAACTTAAAGTAGCAATACTGAAAGAGAACAAAAGAAAATGAATTCTATCCAAGCATGATATAGCCAACTTCTAGACTTTGCTTTCATCACCATTCCTTCCTCAACCTGTTTCTTCAACTATTTACACCATAGCTGTCTACTTTTCCCTTTTCTTGCGAGGCATCGTATTTGGAATAATGGAATTTCCCTTTAAAAAAGGGAAACATTGACAGCTATGATTTACACCAACCTTTTAGACGAGCATGGGGCTGATTCCCCATTTACCTCTGAAGTTGGTGCATAAAAGGAGTAATATATCACATAGCATTGCATATAGAGAAAATGATATATTTTAGATAACAAAACAAACAGAGCACCCACTTTCTGTTAATAAAGTTTTTATGGATGTGTGAGCATTTGCTGCGGGAGATGTTAAGATGTTAAGAATCTGTAATTCAAAATGAACTTCCAAATCTAAGAAAATCTTTCGATATATATAAATAAAAATATAAAAAGAAAACTGCTTTCCTTCAAGGAGTATATTTGGAAACCTGCCATGAAAGTGAACATCATGATTGTCCTTTGCTGAACTTTGCTGATTGCCCTTTGCCTTTTCTATACTTTCTTTTTCAATCCAGTTCCATCATTTTCTGAGGCGTATCTCATTTAACAACAGCGCTGGGGATAAGATTTCCTTGGACCAGAATGGGGAGATACTAGCTGGATTTGATATTACCAATTGGATTCTTTTCTCAAACCAATCCTTTCAGAGAGTGAAGGTAGGAGGGATTGATTCCCTCGCTCCTCCACAGCAAGCGTTGACCATCAATGAGGGAGCCATAAAATGGCACCATTGGTTTAACCAGGTAGGATGTTACCATTAGCCATTTGTGACTTTGAAGACTTGAACATAACATACAAAAATATTTTCATTGTACATTTTTCAGTCTTTATAAAATTGTATTATAGATGGCACAAGCTAAGAATTAATGTTATAAGCTGAATTCATAGCCTGTATACTGGTTCTTGTTTAACTGAAAGTGAATATAAGGACTGAAAATTTGAAGATAGATTTTGGTGAGGTTGGATATATTGTTTTGAGCTCGGAAAATCATTCTGGATGAAACTCTGGTTCCCCTTGCAATCCTGGGATCCTGTATCCTTGAGGGGTGAAGGGAAGATTGTTGAAATAGTTCCTTTGTCAAGGTAATGGCTTTGACTGGATAGTTAAGCCTTGTGGCTTGCAGTTATAAATACAGGGGTACCTCGGGTTACAGACACTTCAGGTTACAGGCGCTTCAGGTTACAGGCTCCGCTAACCCAGAAATTGTGGGGTGCGGGTGGCTCTGTGGGTAAAACCTCAGCGCCTAGGACTTGCCGATCGCATGGTCGGCGGTTTGAATCCCCGCGGCGGGGTGAGCTCCCGTAGTTTGGTCCCAGCTCCTGCCCACCTAGCAGTTCGAAAGCACCCTTAAGTGCAAGTAGATAAATAGGTACCGCTTTACAGCGGGAAGGTAAACGGCGTTTCCGTGTGCTGCTCTGGTGCCGGTTTGCCGGAGCAGCTTCGTCACGCTGGCCACGTGACCCGGAAGTGTCTGCGGACAGCGCTGGCTCCCGGCCTCTAGAGTGAGATGAGCGCACAACCCTAGAGTCTGTCAAGACTGGTCCGTACGGGCAGGGGTACCTTTACCTTTACCTAACCCAGAAATAGTACCTTGGGTTAAGAACTTTGCTTCAGGATGAGAACAGAAATCGTGCAACAGCAGTGCAGCGGCAGCAGGAGGCCCCATTAGCTAAAGTGGTGCTTCAGGTTAAGAACAGTTTCAGGTTAAGAACGGACCTCCAGAACAAATTCAGTTCTTAACCTGAGGTACCACTGTATTTCAGCCAAAAAAGTGTCCATGTTTCAATTTTCAGCACTTTCTAAACTGTGGCTCCTTTTACAAAATTACTATAAAGTTTTGACACATTTGTACATCTCACAAGGCAGATTATGCATGCTGTGTTTCAAGGATTTAGAATAGCAGGTGTATAACTCTGAAGCTTAATTTGCATTAAGGGACACCACCACAACCCATTAATGTCACTGTGGAAGACGGGATCCTTACTATAGAGCATATTAAAAACTTTACTGTATAAAGTGCAAAAAAAACAATAATTTATTGGAGTTTCCACTATGAGTCAATGGGAGATGCCAGGAAATGTTTCAAAATGGAATTGAAACAGGCTAGTAAGTGAATTTCTGAAATGAATGTTGTTGTTCTTTTGCAAATTCCTTTTAAGGAAGAGCTTAACTTCCCCTTTTAGCTTTTCTTTGAGTCCAGTTATTATATTTATATACATTTTATATATATAATAAATATATATATCTGTCTTTTATTTGTGTAATAGACACAGCCTAAGTCTGTATGTACTAAGAGCTGCCGCCCTGGTTTTTGCAGGAAGGTGAAGGAGGGGGAAGCATTTTGCTGCTACGATTGCATCCCATGTCCAGAAGGGAAGATTTCAGACCAGGAGGGTAAGAAATTGAATGTATATTGATATAGCTTGTTGCCTTTAATTGAAAACATGAATATATAAAAAAAAATGCAATCACCAAAGTTCCTTTTCACAGCTTATAAAATATTGAGAAATTTAGCTGACGAGGGACCTAATGAAAGTGTGTGTGTGATAATTTGTGATTGTGGGTGTCGAATGCTGTTATTAAGGAAGAATCCTATAGCAAGATCCACCAGGTTGGACAGGATTAGTATAAAGTGGATTTTTCAGATGAACCAGGAGGTTTGTCTAACAGCTGCAAATATGCCAACGTATCTCCTTCATCCAGGCTGAGCTGAGTGCAATGCTTCTTAAATTGATAGAAACCTTGAAAGGGGAGTGTCACAGGGGTGTAATGGGGTGGAGGGGGTGAAAAGGGTGGTGTAACCCCATACTATTTTAAAAGCTTGTTTTGTCTCCGATAGCCTTTGGCTGGATCAACCAACGGCATCCCTGCTTTAGAATGGATTTTGGATCTGGTGCAGTTTATGCCGTCTTAATTTATTCCAGGCTTGTTTTACCCCATCCTCTTGCCATAGTATTTCTCCATAAATGTGATATCTTCTTCTACAGCAGTCCTTGAAATCTGTTTTAACACTTTGGCTAGAGATGGCTGAATCTATTTCAAGACTTTGTTACTTTCACATAATTTTGCCCATAATTTGTTTGATTTATTTCATACTTAATCCTACATTTTCTATCCAAATCTGTTTAGGCATATGTATTTTTCCTTACAAATAATGTTTGAATGTGCATTTTCTTTCTGGTAACGTATTGAAACATGCATGTTGATGCCCTTAAACTTCAGAAAATTGTACGGTAATGTTTGGAGAAGTGTGAAATACTTAAATCCAGAAAACAGTTGAAAGGTGTTGATTAGGTTATCTAATGAAGAAATTTACAAAGTCTCAATTACACAATCACTCATTAATGAAGGAATAAATAAGTGTGAGCAACCAGAACAGTGACAGGAAAATCTGAGTTGGCTTCTGATTGTAGACCAGGAAGGGTCTCTGTGGCCTTGCATTTTGCATTTTGCCTCAGTCGGTATTCTACATTGGATAGGTGAGAAGGGCATGGTTCCATCATTTTAGTCTTTATTGTTTGAAACTCCTTGTACACTTTTTAAGTCATTTTAATTATGTATTTTCAAGTAGTGGCATGTTGCTCATATTTTTGGGATTAAGAACTATGTTTTTTTTTCTCAGACATGAATGACTGCTATGAATGTGAAGATGAAAAGTATCCAAACACAAATAAGACTATATGTATTCCCAAGCATGCAACTTTCTTGTCCTTTGAAGAACCTCTGGGCCTCAGCTTAGCCTGTTCTGCTTTTTTCTTAGCTTTCATTACAGCACTGGTACTGGAAATATTTGTGAAGCACAGGGACACTCCCATTGTGAAAGCCAACAACCGGGACCTCACCTACGCTCTGCTCATCTCCCTCTTGCTTTGCTTCCTTTCCGCAATACTATTTATCGGATATCCTGACAAAGTGATGTGTCTCCTCCGACAAACTGCTTTTGGCATCATCTTCTCAGTGGCTGTTTCTTGTGTGCTGGCAAAAACCATCACTGTGGTTCTGGCTTTCATGGCCACAAAACCAGGATCCAGGATGAGGAAGTGGGTGGGGAAAGGACTGGCAATCACTATTGTCCTTTCCTGCTCCCTTATCCAAGCACTCATCTGCACTGTATGGCTGGTGATCTCTCCTCCATTCCCTAATGCTGACATGAAGTCAGTGACTGAAGAAATTGTACTGGAGTGCAATGAGGGAACTGTGACTTTCTTTTACTGTGTCTTGGGCTACATGGGCTTCCTAGCTTTGGTCAGTTTCACTGTGGCTTTCCTTGCCCGGAAATTACCTGACAGTTTCAACGAAGCCAAGTTCATCACTTTCAGCATGCTGGTTTTTTGTAGTGTTTGGTTGTCCTTTGTTCCTTCCTACATGAGCACAAAGGGGAAATACATGGTGGCTGTGGAGATCTTCTCTATCTTAGCCTCCAGTGCTGGCTTGTTGGGTTGCATCTTTTCCCCAAAATGTTACATTATTTTGTTGAGACCTGAGCTGAACAATAGGGATCACCTAATAAGAAGAAAATGCTAAAGAAATCAAATTCTAATATCTAGAAGAGCAATTTGTATGTATACCTGAAAAGAAACACCCAGAATCCTCTGTAGGCTACCAGCCAACTGGATTTAACCATCCTCTGCTGTCAGTCGGAATGTGGGAAGGAGATGGTGTATCTCCTTTCCTTGCCTGCCTCCAACCTTTATCAGCATTTTTAAAACAACATTTAAATATTAGTCCTGCCCCCAATTTGCTCTGAGGATGCATATACGGCATGGCTGTTTTTCCCTCAGCTGGCCCAATCCAGGGCCCAAAATTGCACCCCAGATCACATAGGCTGTGCAGATGCCCATTTCGCATTACTATTGCCTGAAAATCTCCACTGTTGTTGTTTAGTCGTTCAGTCGTGTCCAACTCTTCGTGACCCCATGGACCAGAGCACGCCAGGCACTCCTGTCTTCGAAAATCTCCACTACTTGCCCTGTTTCAACACACTGAGTCCCCCATATTCAGCAATCCCAGATCTACTGCATCTTTTCCTCTGCTCAGTTTCAACTCTGTATCTCTTATTCTTAGGCCTCGGCACTGTACTATTCTGCTCTGATGCTGTTTCTCACAACTTTTTCACACTACAGATAAACAATTTCACCCTTTCTAATCCCATCTTATTTTTCTGCATTTGGCTGTGTTAATGTACGTCCTGCTCCACTCTAGTGGAAATTTCATAGGATAGGTCTGTAGAAATCCTTTAAAAACTGGACATAAAAACAGTCACAAAATATAAGCACTGAGGACTAAAAGGTTTATGAAGGACATGCTCTGTCTCTCCCCCCCCTTGCTTTCTCCAAATCTTTAAATCTGACAATTAATCTGAGTAAAAATGTTTTGCCATCACAGCCACACCAAGGAGGACTCAAGACGTCACTTTAAATTGAGGGAAAGGTTGCATTCATTAAATATAACATTAAGAAAAACTTAATGAGGAAGGGAGGGGAGAAAAAAGGGAAAGAGCCAAATAAATTACTAGCTAATTTAAAGGGAAAGAAATATGCCAAACACTCAAAATGTAGTTATTTCAGATCCCAATCCTTTTGGGTTTGGCTGGATTTCACTGGTTTTTAGTCCAATAATGATATCTGCTTTTTGGCAATATGCTCCAAATGCAAATAAACATCAAAAGAGAAGAAACAAAAATTAAACCTGAAGAATTTCACGAGGAAGGAGAGGAGATTGGGATATTTTGGGGTATTTTTTTTTCCAGTGCCAAGTGGCTTCAAAACATTCTTGCCATTGCTTGTTTGAATCATAGAATCATAGAGTTGGAAGAGACCACAAGGGCCATCGAGTCCAACCCTCTGCCAAGCAGGAAACACCATCAGAGCACTCCTGACATATGGTTGTCAAGCCTCTGCTTAAAGACCTCCAAAGTAGGAGACTCCACCACACTCCTTGGCAGCAAATTCCACTGTCGAACAGCTCTTACTGTCAGAAAGTTCTTCCTAATGTTTAGGTGGAATCTTCTTTCTTGTAGTTTGGATCCATTGCTCCGTGTCCGCTTCTCTGGAGCAGCAGAAAACAACCTTTCTCCCTCCTCTATATGACATCCTTTTATATATTTGAACATGGCTATCATATCACCCCTTAACCTCCTCTTCTCCAGGCTAAACATGCCCAGCTCCCTTAGCCGTTCCTCATAAGGCATCGTTTCCAGGCCTTTGACCATTTTGGTTGCCCTCCTCTGGACACGTTCCAGTTTGTAAGTGTCCTTCTTGAACTGTGGTGCCCAGAACTGGACACAGTACTCCAGGTGAGGTCTGACCAGAGCAGAATACAGTGGCACTATTACTTCCCTTGATCTAGATGCTATACTCCTATTGATGCAGCCCAGAATTGCATTGGCTTTTTTAGCTGCCGCGTCACACTGTTGGCTCATGTCAAGTTTGTGGTCAACCAAGACTCCTAGATCCTTTTCACATGTACTGCTCTCAAGCCAGGTGTCCCCCATCTTGTATTTGTGCCTCTCATTTTTTTTGCCCAAGTGCAGTACTTTACATTTCTCCCTGTTAAAGTTCATCTTGTTTGTTTGGGCCCAGTTCTCTAATCTGTCAAGGTCATTTTGAAGTGTGATCCTGTCCTCTGGGGTGTTAGCCACTCCTCCCAGTTTGGTGTCATCTGCAAATTTGATCAGGATGCCCTTGAGTCCATCATCCAAGTCGTTGATAAAGATGTTGAATAAGACCGGGCCCAAGACAGAACCCTGTGGCACCCCACTAGTCACTCTTCTCCAGGAATCTTCAGGTTGCTTGCCTCTCTGTAGTCAGAGCCGAGATAAATGATTCTGTGTTATTGGGATTCTCAAACTTTTGTGTTTGATAGAAACACCTAGCAAGATTAAACCCTCCATCTCTCAGTTGTTGGTGGTGGAGGAAGAAGTTGTAGCATCTCCTTTTTTTAGCTGTGAAATAAAAAATGTGTACAGGCCGGATGGAGTGCCAGCAACTCTCCGTTTGTGTGGAGTTTGTGTTGCGAGTCATTACACAAATAAGTGGTCTCACGTAAGCCTGTTCCGCCTCTGTTCCACCCCCTTCCTGGGCCACAAATTGATGCGTTCACCATCAGTCATGGGTCCATCAGGAGCACGCAAAATGCTCCCCGCCTACACATATAATTGCAACCAGCAAAGACTTAGGATGGCAGGCACTCATAATGGCCTCATGTCTTGGTTGCTAATGTGGTTGGTTTGGTTCCAAGTTGGCAGGATACCCATGTAAATGACAGAAGAGGCTTGGCGTTTTTTTCAGCCAGAACTCAGTTCAGGAAGCTTTCGTGTGGGCGCCATTGCCATTGTAAGAGAACAAGGGAGGCGTTCATGCAGAGTTTTGGCATCTCTTTTTCTAGAAAAATAGCACTGAGAAGGGGCATTGGGCTGGACCCTTGGTGGCAATGGGCAGGAAGAGGGGCCCCCTCTAGTGATCCTGTGGAGTTTCCCAGGAGTGGTTCACACCATAGGGGCTTCCGTAACTAAGGGTTATGTTAAGGTTGCCAGATTTTTTTCAATGAATCCGGGGACACTTTTCAACTTCAATGGATTTTTTGTGGGGGCTGATTTGCAAATCCAGGGACTGTCCCTGGGAAACGGGGACGTCTGGTAACCTTAGGTTATGTTTCACCACTTTCTTTTCCACTTTGAAGAAACTCTTATCTCTTCAGATTAAGGAGTATAAATGAATGCTGCTAACAATCCAGGAGATGAAACCCCCCCTCCCACAGCTAGACAATTAAAGAGGCAAAGTGAACAAAGAAGTGGAAAGCATTTATTTCTTCCCTCACCGGTGAAAAAAAGAGAGAGAAGGGTTTGTATTTTTATTTTCTGGTGGTGTTTATGTTGTTGGTGCCCCCTAAATAGCTTTCCTCCATAGTAAAAAGGAAGGGTATTGATTGATTGATTGATTGATTGATTGATTGATTTGAAACTATCTTTTTGCTTGCTTGCTTGCTTGCCCTCCCTCCCTTTGATAAAAAATGAAAGATTGGTGGGATGTGGGTTGGGGGGGGGGACTTCTGGGGTGGGGATGGATGGAAGGAGATTTAGCTGGTGGCCTTATGCTGAATTGGGAGGTTGTGTATTCTGTGAGAATGATGGGGAGGGTGTTTTACAGTAAGCAGTGAAAGCAAAAGTATGTCTACTCCCAAGCAAGCCCTACTGAATTCAGTAGGGCTTACTCCCAGGAAAGTAAGTTTAGTTGAACTCAGTGGTGCTTACGCATGCACAGATTCTACTTAGACCTCTGAGTGGGGAAACAGATGCAGCTTGACTAGTAAATCACTTAAACTACTCTTAAATTAGTTTAAAATATATTAAATATAATATATGGACATTTATTTAATATTTTTATTAAATCTTCATTACATTTTAAGACCTTCCACCACTGTAGGGAGCCTCGTCAAGGCTCTTGGCTGCTGCAGGGAAGCACAGCGCACCTCTGCTGCCATGGGGAGGTACAGTGGGGCCCCCTGCTGCCATGGGGAGGTGAGGCAAGGCCCTCTGCTGCTGCACCAAAGCATGGCACACCCTCTATCACCACAGATATGTATTGTGGTATATCAAGATATCATGACATTTAGCTGGTGATATATTGTGATGTTGAAAATCAGATATAGCCAAGCCCTAATCTGGATAATATTCCATTGATTGAAGTAGTAAAATCACACTCCAGTTTTCCCCATCTTTCTTGATCCTGTGTCATTTACCCAGGAAACCAAATTAGAAGTCAAACTAACACAGAATATACCCTTGAGGACAGCTCTGTAACACTTGCTTCACAAAGTTTTACTTTTTAAACTAGCTCCCCGGGACCAGACAAGGCGCCAGCAAATGCAATCCCCATTGGAGGGGAAATGAGCAATTAATTACTTCCACACTCTCTCTATCTATTTACTCTTGATTTACTGATCATCCTGCTTTTTAGGTAGATGTCATCCTCGCAACACACACAGCCAGCAGATGGAACTCAACCAAACAGCTCCAAACTGATGCTGAGCTGAACAGAGGTTGCTGCAGAAAACCTTAAGAAATATCTGCTGGGGTTTGCAGGTGAGTGAAAAAATAGTTGAGGGCGTATTAGATTTTTCCAAAGGGCAGGTCAAGGCTCTGGGATGAATGAAATTTTGCAGACTTCTCCAAGGAGCTGTCCAGCAGTTTCTATCTGCTGATCTGCTCTCTCCCCTTCTCTATCTCCAGCGCTCCAGATGCCTTCTGGTGGCTAGATTGCTTCTGGACATAGGGGTAGCATAGAGACTGGTCATCATTGTAATTCTCCATCCAAAGCAACTGGAGACTATGTATAGTACCTCCAGGATCAGAGCTGGCATGACTCTCTATGTTGGAGAACAAAAGTGGAAGATGGCTGCTGCTCTCAAATTCTTTTTGCGGGTTTCTCATGGGCATCTGTCAGAAGACAGAACACTCAGCTAGATTACCGCAGCCTGATCTGGAATGAATCCATCCCAGCATGTTGTTAGAATACGGAGGTTAGGGAAGTGGTGTTCTTTCTAAGGGAGGATATAAGAAGTTGAGCAATCAGAACTACCCCTCCAGATCAGACTGTGGCTCATATACACATTACAGTTCATTCCATTTTCCCACTATTTCCTGACCATCCATTTTCAAATTACATTGGCTCTTTTAAGAACTAAGGAGGAAAACAGTGTAAGTTTAGCCCCATTTCCATAATATTTGCAAATGATTTTTCTGGCAGCAAATAACATGGAAATTAGCACTAAAGCTACGTTATATTCCACTATAGTTCTGGAAGTTGTTGTGTGAAAGATCAAATATAGTGTGGAAATTAACAGTTACATAAACAATGTGTGGATGCAGCCTGGGCCATCTAGCTGAGCACACAGTCTTCAGACAGTGCCAGATGTTCTTTGGAAGGGAATCTCAAAATAGGGCATGATAGTGTCATCTGACTGTTCATAATTCTGTCAGTTATTTCCTCTGCTTCTGAACACACTATCATGCACAGGAGGCATTGAGATATCTTTGTGTGTTCACACATTTATTTCTGTAATTTATTCTTACTGAGTATCACAATGTGCTGGGGCATCAAATTTCACAGGCTACCCATGAGATGTCCAGCTGGTTCCTTTCACTTTGCACAATAGAAAATCATGGGTGTTACATCAAAAGTGCCATCTACAGTAATACTGATATTGGCACCAAATGGGCTGCAACCAAAACAGGGCTGAGAAACAAGAGGGAAGAGCCAGCATCCTCAGTAGAACCTCAATAAGTCCTCCCAAAATGTTTGTTTCTAGAAAATGGCTTTGGTGGGTGTTATAATGGACTGGACAAAGTGAATATTGTTTTTATATAGCAGACAGATGAATCAGAAATTAGTTATTTTCTAAATCTTATTTTTCTGTCTTTCTCTTTTAACCTCTTTTCCACTCTTTTTCTTTCTGTCTGTCTTTCTGTCTTTCTGTCTTTCTGTCTTTCTGTCTTTCTGTCTTATTTCTCTTTCTCTATTTCCTTCTACACCCCCACCCTTTTTGTGTTTTTATCTAGATACAGTGGTACCTCTGGTTACATACGCTTCAGGTTACATACACTTCAGGTTACAGACTCTGCTAACCCAGAAATAGTACCTCAGGTTAAGAAGTTTGCTTCAGGATGAGAACAGAAATCGTGCTCCGGCAGCGTGGCAGCAGCAGGAGGCCCCATTAGCTAAAGTGGTTTTCAGGTTAAGAACAGTTTCAGGTTAAGAACGGACCTCCGGAACGAATTAAGTACTTAACCCGAGGTACCACTGTAAAAGTATTGGTTTGGTGTTTTATTAAAGGGGGAGAATATTAAGTTTTGAATTTTTCTCTATTAACCTTAATAAAAACTTTTTTAAATAAGGTAAGAAAGTAATTTATTTATTCTTAATTTAGAAAACAGCAAGGAAGCTGAATGTTGGAAGATTCAGGGCAGATGAAATCATAACTTTAAAAGAGGTTTAGACATATTAATGGAAGACAAGGTCACCAATCACTACTAGCAGCAATGGCTATGTTCTGCCTCCACAGTCACAGGCAGTGATGCTTCTGAACACCCATTGCTGAAAACCTCAGGAAGTGAAATTGCTCTTGTGCTCAGGTCCTGCATTCCATGTTTGCCACAGGCATCTGGTTGGCTACTGTGAGAACAGGATGCTGGACTAGATGGGCTATTGGCCTGATCCGGCAAGATTTTATTACGTTCTTACAGGGGGAGAATCCTACCTCAAAACAGCCCAGTGAGGACTGAACCTGCTCAGAGTGCCAGCAGCCTGTTAATGCTTCTTCAGGGTGGCAGTGGAGAGATGGGAAGCTAGGAGATGGGGAACAGAGAGGGGGAGTATCCAGGAAGAGGAGATGGCTAGCTGGGACACTCCACAGAGCACACTCTATGATTAGACCTAACTGAGTGCTACTAAGAAAGCAACTCTACTTTCACTACCAGCAACCCACTATATGCAGGGAACAATGGGAACTGGATGCAAACAATTTTGAGGAGAAAAATCAGGGCTCCTGCCCACATCACATTTCTTGAAAGAGGTGGGTGGACAATGTATTGGAAGGGGAGAATGGAACCAAGGCTTGGGATGTATTTAAGAGAGATGTGAAAAGGAAGACCATTTTAGGGTGTTGATAAGATGGGAAAGGGTCATAGCTCATTGCTCTTCATGCAGAAGGTTCCAGGTTTAATCCTCAGCATCTCAAAGTAAGGTTGTGAATTCTCTCCTGGTTGTAAACTCTGGAAAACCACTGCCAGTAGGTGTAAACAATGTTGAAGTAAATAGACTAACGGACTGCCTCAATAAAAAGCAAATTCCTATCTTAGGAAAGGACACCAAAAAAAATTAATTTCTGAAGAAAAATAAGATCAGCTTTTTCTTTCTCAACTATCTTTCTTACCTACACCTTTTATTAGGCGAATTAAACCCTTTTGTATTCCCCCATCCCAGTAATTTCATTATTAACTTAGATAATGTATAGTTTCTACACCTCAAAATAAAGGAAAGACCTGAAAACTTTTTTTAAAAAGGGGGAGAGAGGATGGATAAAGAAAAAGAAAACAAAGTAAAAAAATAAACCATCTGTTGGGAAATTACTTCACTCCAAAAACTCCAAAACTTGTCATTTTTATCTCTGTATCTCAGTTAGGTTTTTTGAGGTGGTGTTTTCCAAAGTTCTGATAAACACTTTTGTATTGTCATGTAGTCCAGACATCTTAGCACCATATCATCCTTGGGTTTTTGTTAACATTGTTGGGCAGGGCTGGCAATAAAATGTTGAAAGTGAATGGGAAGAAAAGCAACACATATCATCATCAGCTATGACCACACACTCAACCACCCTGTCCCATCCATTAGAAACTATGCTAGCATAATTAAATACAAAAGACACACAAACAAAAGGAAAATCAGTAGAGAGAGGTGCACTGAAACAAAAGCAATAGTAATAACGATAATTTATCTCTGCTTTTATTATGATTATTGTCTCTATGCCTCAGTTTTTTGTGTTTAACTTTTGTATTTCAACTCCTTTTTGAACCTGCACTAGTTTCATTTGTTCATTTACTTTCTGCAACATAATTTTTCTACTTCTCAAATATTGATTTTTTTCCTTTTTTGTTCCATTGGTGTAACAAGACCTGGTCCAGAGTGCCTTCTCATCCCCTTTTGTATGCTAATAGCTCTGAATCTAAATCAGAACAAGAGAGGGAATGGCACAAGCCTCAACAGAAAGGCCTGGAGGGCTGTATTTGGTCCCTGAACCTGATACTCCTCATCCATGCTGTAACCCAGAACTCTTAACAAACTATTGTTCCCAGTATTCCCATGGTGTCATTTTCTGGTTCACCTCAGGCAGCAAGTTACCTTGGGCTGGTCCTCCTTTCTATAAGTTTGGGAGCCTATGACCCTTTGGACATTTGTTTGGACTCTTGACTCCCATCATCCTGAGCCAGCATGCTCAGGGATGACAGGAGATGGAGTCCAACAGCATCTGAATGGCCACAGATGATACTGATTTGGATGCAGCAATAGTACGATGCACCATATATCACCCTATGATGTTTTTGTGGACATTGTACAAATCACTAGGACAGGAGCCTCAGGACCCAGCCAAGAATAATAGCAGCTGACAAACAGATACATCATTTGCTGATTTTACCTAAAGCTTTGATGGAATAATCTCATTACTCTTGCCTTTCTCCCTTTCCTATTTTTACAGAGATATGCACAAAGGGAATGATGTCAGCAAACCAGACAGTGGTGACCGAGTTTGCCCTGCTGGGCCTCTCTGAAACATGGGAAGTCCAGCTCATCTTATTTGTTGTCTTCCTCCTTCTCTACATTGGTACGCTCTTCAGCAACATCCTCATATTCTCAGCAATTTTCAGGGATCAGCGCCTTTCAGATTCACCCATGTTCTTTCTGCTAGGTCAGCTGGCTTTCCAGGACCTCTGGCTGTCCTCCTTTGCCATCCCAAGATCCCTCTTTGATTATGTTGCCAAATGCCATGTCATCTCCTTTGATGGCTGCATGGCACAAATCTTCTTTGTCCATGTCTTTACAGGCAGTGAGATGCTCCTATTGGTGGCCATGGCCTATGACCGCTACGTAGCCATCTGTCATCCTCTCCATTATATTTCACTCATGAGCCGGCATCATTGCATTGGGCTTGTGCTTGCCTCCTGGGCTGGTGGGCTCCTCCATGGCACTGTGCAACTGTGTTTCATCATTAATGTGCCTTTCTGTGGGCCCAATCAGGTGGACAGTTTCTTCTGTGACCTCCCTTTGGTCATCAAGTTGGCCTGCACTGACACCTACCCCCTGGAGGTCATGATGGTCACCAACAGTGGCATTTTATCATTGGTGTCTTTTGTTGGCCTGCTCATCTCGTACGGATTCATCCTCTACACAATCCGCTCCCGGGGTCCCTCTGAAGGGACCACCAAGGCTGCCTCCACATGCACCTCTCACCTCATTGTGGTCACCATGTACTTTGGGCCCTGTTTGTTCATTTACCTGCGTCCATCTGCCCGGTTCATGATTGATAAAGTTCTCTGCGTCTTCTACACCTGTGTCACCCCCTTGCTGAACCCAGCTATCTATGCTTTGAAGAACAAGGAGATGAAAGCGGCCATTGGAAGCCTGTTGGCCAGGCTTTCTGGGCAGGTTTCTGCACAGGGCCGTTCCCACCATTAGGCAGCCTGAGTCATCCACATCCAGCAGCAGGTCACAAAAGGCAACAAATCATTGGTTATTTGATTTATTGTTCTCTTATGTTTATACAAGGTACAGAGAAAGTGGATAGGGAGATTTTCTCCTTTCCTAGTCCTTAAACCCAGGCTCATCCAGTGGAGCTGAGAAGGAACTATTTATTTAGAGATGGACACAGTTGAACAATGAAATTTCCTACCACAAGGGATGGCACCATCTTCAACATCTTTAGCAGATTAAACAAATTCATGGAGTATAAAGCTTATGATGGCTAGTATCAGAAGCTGTTCTCATGACTGCTAGGGAAGGGAAATTGAGAGCTATCGAGGTCTCTTCCAACTGTACAATTCTGACTAGATTTGTCCTGGATTTAGCTGAAGGCTCAATGAAACTGGGCCAAAATGGCATTGGGCCAAGTTGGATTCAGACAGCACTGGATGGGCCCATGCTGGGCAGGGCGCCCAAGAGTCATCTAGAGTTGTGATGGGTGGGGTGGAGGGTGGGAATATTTCAAAGGACCGTTTCACCCTCCTGCTCAGTTGTGGGTGGGAAAAGGCAAAGCAGCATCTCCTTTTTTTAACAATGAAATAAAAAATATTTTTAATAAATTAAACACGGATTGCTCTGCTACAGATTATTTTTTTTTTAGAATATGTGTGTGTTATGCTATAATGACATGTTCCCTTTATTCAAGAGCAGTAGTTGAATTTTCTATCACAAGGGGCACTGTTCCCCGTACTTGCATTGACCGGTTGGGTACAGAAGGGATGAGCCAATTTTGTGGGCATCCATGTCCCAGGCTGTACGGAGCTTGGGCACCAACAGCAGGTCAAACCATTTGGGTAGCTGAAGTGGAAAATTGCAAAAATTCAAGGGCTTGCACTTTCATTACACCAACCTGTGTCAACCCAGGAAAAACACATCAGAGATCCAGACTCTGATCAAATTGGGTGAAGGGGTATGTATATTGAATTAGTTTACACACACACACACACACACACACACTATGGTCAGCTATAGTAACAAACCAAGATGTATTTGTGTTTTCTTCTCATGGTAGTTAGAATGTTAATTAATAATCCAACCGTGGAAAGACTCAAAATGGCTTACTCTGGATTACTGGGACAAGAAAGTATGGGATGTAGCCTTAATGAAAAAGCTAACTCAGCCACTACACCTGGCTATGAGTAGAAGAAAACAGACTCTTTTGCTGAAAACTAGTGGAGCTTTATAACCTTCCTTAATAAAGAAAAAGCAGACCAGCTAGTGCCTATGGCTTTTCAAAATGTACGGTGTATTTAATATACATGTGCAAGGGTGCCAGCTTGAATAAAATATTGGGAGGCAGGTAAGCCCCACCCCACATAATTGATCACAAGACACGGTGTGCACACACAGTTTGAATCTAATCAATACAAATTAAATGTCCATCAACTGGGGGGAGGGGCGCCCCCCTCAAATCTTTTACTTTTGAAAGGGGCAAAGGGACCTTGGCCCCTAGGAGTTGGATCCTATCGACATGTGAATTGACTCCTTTCCAAGGATATCCATTTTAGCTTTCTTCCATGTTGCCAACACAAACTGTTAATTTATAGTTATTGTTTGCTTACATTATGTGTTTGGTCAGTGCTTAATTGAAAGCCCCTCTAGAGAGAGTGGGGGTGGAGGAAGGAGGAGGGGTGTGTGTGTGAAAAAGAATGTTCAAAAATACGTTTTATGGATCCACATGGTTTTTCTTTATTTTCAAAGCACTCACTGTTAATGAAGCAGCTTTCATCCCCTTCTTCCACAATGTACCTCTCTCATCTTGTCATAATATTCTCCACCCGTTACTCAGGAGGAAAGATTTGCTCACCTTCAGACAACAAGAGCAGGGCACTGTGGTCCTCTAAATGTTGCTGGACCACAGCTCCCATCATGCCTGACCATTGGTCAAGCCAGCTAAGGCTGATAGGAATTGAAGTACAAAAACATATGGAACTGAAATCTGGAAGACATCGAAGCGACATATCCACATGACCTCAGTATATTCCCATGACGCTGTTCAGAAAGCATCAGTGCCAGCCTACCTGCTGGGTGACCTTGGGCTAGTCACACTTCTTTGAAGTCTCTCAGCCCCACTCTCCTCACAGAGTGTTTGTTATGGGGGAGGAAGAGAAAGGAGAATGTTAGCCGCTTTGAGACTCCTTCGGGTAGTGATAAAGCGGGATATCAAATCCAAACTTCTCCTCCTCCTCTTCTTCTTCTTCTTCTTCCTCCTCCTCCTCCTCGTGGCCATTCAGTCCCATTTATTTCAGTAAGTAAATTTACTAAAATTTGTTCCTCCACATATTGCTCATGTACATTATCTCTGTTGTCTTTGCAACACCTTTGTCAAAGAATCAGCAGTATTATACTGGTTTGGGGTTCGCAGATAAGCCATGTGTACACTTATGTTCCTAAATGGACACCTGGTAAATGGAATAACCCAAAATGTTCTTGCTAATCTTATTACCCACTTCATATCTTGCACACCCTTCCTTCTTTCTGATTGGTATAGTTGGATATCATTTAATTGATGGAGGTGGTGAGCTCACACATTCGGAAAAAGGAGAGAAAATCATCCCACAGTTTCTCCCCATCTTTTTTGATCCCTTGCAATGTACCCAGGAAACCAAATTAGAACTCAAACTTAGCACATAATGTACCCTTGAGATCAGCTGTGTAACACTTACCTGAAAAGTATTGCTTTTCTAATTAGCAGCAGAGAAGCAGATAAGGCAGCAGCAAATGCAGCCCCCATCAGAAGAAAATGAGCAATTAATTACAATTACCAACACACACACACACTATTTACACCTGATTTGCTTGTTCATCCTGCCTTTTAAGCAGAGATCTCATCCACACAGGGATCTTATCCCCATACCACTCACAGGCGTCAGAAGGAACTGGATCAAGCAGCTCTATGCTGATACTGAACTGAACAGAAGTTGCTGCAGAAAACCTCAGTGGATATCTGCTGGGATTGGCAGGTGGGTGAAGAAACAGTTGAGAGTGTATTAGATTTTTCAAAAATGCTTATTTAGTATTTCAGTATTTAAAACAGGACTTATTCTAATAGGAGCTCTGATTTTTCAATATGGTTTTGCAACTAAATAAGATGGATAACAATGTGTAATAGAAAAAGAAGCATGAAATTAGGTTAAAGGTGTGTGAAAGAAAGTGATAGAAGTGGAAAGAAATTGCAATTGAGTAGATTGGAAGTCTAACACAAAGGTGGGGTGAGGGGTGGTGGATGGTGATGGGGAAAGGAATTATCTGTGGGACTGAATGTAGGTATGTCTGAATATTTTTAAGGATTGTATGAAATGTATGTTTGTATGCTTGTATATTCGCAATATGTGTGTATTAATGCTGAATTATTTTAACAATAAAAACTTTAAAAAAAAATATTCAAAAATGCAAGTGTGAAACTCTGGGAAGAATGGCATACTACAGCTCCTCCAAGAGCTCCTCAGCAGTTTCCATCTGCTGGTGGTCTCTTTTTCTCTCTCTTACTCCAGTGAGTTACATGCCTTTTGGTGGCTGGATTACAGATGGATACAGGGGTAGCATGGGGAATGGTCAGTATTATTAGGATGTAATTGTCCATTCAAAACCGCCAGTACCATAGGTGGAATACCTCTGAATACCAGGGCAAAGCAGCGGGAGAGGACTACTGTATCCATGCTCTGTGAGTTTCTTCTAGGTATCTGATTGACCGCTGCCAGAAGACAGAATATTGTGCTAGATGGTCAAAGCCTGCTCTAGAATGGTTCAGTCCCAGCATGCTGTTGGAATACTGAGGTTAGGGAAGTGGAGCCTTTGCTAAGGCAGATTGTAAGAAACTGGGAAATCAGGTATCATTCCAGATCAGGCTGTGGCTTGTATACACGTATCAATTTATTCTATTTTCCTTGTGTTTTCCTTATTATTAAATTTCACATTACATTGGAGCTTTCACATGATGGAAAATACACTTTTCAAATGACAAATATAGTGTGGGTTCAGTCCTCAATTCCATAGTTTGCAACGGATTTTTTTCTGGCAGCAAATAACATGGAAATTTGCACTAAAATTGTTCTATTGGCAATGGAATAAGCTGCCATGAGAGTACATCCTCTGGCCATTTATCTGAGCAATCTGTCTTCTGACAGTGCCCCAAAAGGTGCTTCTTTGGATAGGAGTCACAAAACAGGACATGATAATGTATCTGGCCTGTTAATAATTCTGTTGAATTTTTTCTTCTGCCTCTGAACATGTTATCATGGGTAGAAGTTACTGAGAGATCTGTGTGTCTTTGTGTGTGTCTGTAATTTATTCTTACTGGTTTTCATAATACAAAGAAGCAATCAATCTCACAGGCTACCCCAGAGCTGTCTAGCTAGTTCTTTTCACTTTGCACAACACACCGTCATAGTTGTAAGTTCTACAGTGCTGTCTAATAGTGATCTTAGCACCAACAGAACTGTAGCCAAAACAGGAACCCTGAGAAATACCAAAATAATAATAATAATAATCTTTCAGAAAACACCAACGAAGTTCATTCAGGGCAGATGAAAGTACTTCAGAAGTCAGTGATTGCCGCTAATTTGGATGGTTTTTAAAGGTAAACCTTTGAACAGCACAATAAGAGCAGATGCAGTTCAATTATGAAGATGACCAAAGGGGTACATTCAAAGCATCTCAGGTCTGAAACCAGAATCCTGACATGCGGTCTCTGTCACACCCACCCTAGTGGTGGAGCTGCCACTAAGTCAAGAGCTGTGTGAGAGCAGTAGGCAGCTCAGGCTTTCTTCTCCGCAGTCATCTGTGGATGGTAACGCTCCTGAGAATCTCCCCCAATCTCTTCTATAGAAGCTCTGAAGAGTCCCAAAAACTTATACTCCAGACATTACCCAGGGTTAAGTTGCATTTTGGAAAGTGGTCTACTTCTTATGAAGGTGGGTCATTGCTGAGTTGGAGGTGCGTGAATGTACAAAACATTGGGCAAAAGGTCAGTATATTTTAGGGGAACTGAAAAGATGGAGAAGGGTAATAAATCATTGGTAGAGCATAGTTTTACATTGAAAAGGTCCCAGATAGGTTTGTGAATGTTCATGTGCCTAAAGATCTGAACAGCCCCTGCCAGACAGTGTAGACTAGACTGAGCTAAATGGACCAATGTTCTGACTCAACGTGTGTGTGTGTGTGTGTGTGTGTGTGTGTGTAGACCACTTCCAAGTGTTTTTCTGCTTCTCCCATGCTTTTTAGGCATTTGTCTAAGTGGTTTTGCCTTTGCCTGCTGCTATCCTCCAGAAAAACCCGTTCTTTAGCGCCAAATTGCAGCAAATAGCAATCCACAGGAAACCCTATCGCTGTTTGTCACGGTTCAGTGCTAAAATACGGGTTTTCCCAGGTAAAATGGCAGGGGAAATGGAAGTGTGCATGAGCTCTCAGACCCCAGCCAAGAATAACAGCAGCTAACACACGGATACACCCTTTCCTGATTTAACATAAGGCTGTGATGGAAGTATCTCATTACTGTCTCCTTTCTCCCTTCCCAGTCTACACAGTGATATGCAAGAAGGGAATGATGTGGGGAAACCAGACAATGGTGACTGAGTTTGTTCTGCTGGGCCTCTATGAAACATGGGAAGCCCAACTTTTCATATTTATCCTCTTCCTTGTCCTTTATGTGGCTACTCTCTTCAGCAACATTCTTATTTCCTCAGCAATTTTCAGGGATCACCACCTTTCAGATTCACCCATGTTCTTTCTGCTGGGTCAACTGGCTTTCCTGGACCTCTGCCTGTCCTCCTTTGCCATACCAAAATCTCTCTTTGATTACATTGCTCAACACCAAGCCATCTCCTTTGATGGCTGCATGGCACAAATCTTCTTCATCCATTTCTTTGGAGGCAGTGAGATGCTTTTGCTGATAGTCATGGCCTATGACCGGTATGTGGCCATCTCCCATCCTCTCCGTTATGCCTCACTCATGAACCGACACCATTGCATGGCATTTATCCTTGCCTCCTGGGCTGGTGGGTTCCTCCATGCTACTGTGCAACTGGGTTTCATCATTAATGTGCCTTTTTGTGGACCCAATCGAGTGGACAGCTTCTTCTGTGACCTCCCCTTGGTCATCAAGTTGGCCTGCACTGACACCTACCCCCTGGAGGTCATGATGGTCACCAACAGTGGCATTTTGTCACTGGTGTGTTTTATTGGCCTGCTTCTCTCGTATGGATTCATTTTCTACACAATCCGATCCCGGTCCTCTTCTGAAAGAACCACCAAGGCTACCTCCACATGTACATCTCACCTCATTGTGGTCACTATGTACTTTGGGCCCATTATGTTCATTTACTTACGTCCATCCACCCAGTTCATGATTGATAAAATGCTCTCTGTCTTCTATACCTCCATCACCCCCTTGCTGAACCCAGCTATCTATGCTTTGAAGAACAAGAAGATGAAGGCTGCCATTGGACGTCTGCTCTCAAGGTTTTCTAGGCAGGTTTCCTCTCAGGGCCAGCCCTGATGTTAGGTAGCATGAGGTGCTCCTCTCTGTGTCACAAAAGAGCAGAACATTGTTAGTTATTTAATTTACTGCATCTCTAGCATTTTGTACACAGTGTTCAGAAAGTGGGTGAGAGGTGGTTCTCCTCTTCATCCAGTGGAGCTGAAAAGGACATTCTTTTTTTTAGACAACACACACCTGAACACAATAATTGGGCTAGCACAAGTGAGGGCCATCAACTTGGAGGTCTTGTTTAGACAAGTTAATGGAGGTTAAGTATATCAATGGCTGCTACTCCTGATGGCTATGCTACTACCAGTATCAGAGGCCATATGCCCTAGAATACCAATTACTTGGAAAACATGAATGGGAGAATGCTGTTCAGCTCATGTTGTGTTTGTAGGTTTCTCCTAGACATGGCTGGCCACTGTAAAATCGGGATGTTGGACTAGATGGCTAGTGATGCGTAAGGGTACAGTAGACATCTCTGTTAGGGCTTTGCCCTGGATTTGACTGAAGGCTGAACCAGACTGGGCCAATCTGGGTTTAGGCTGTATCTGGATGAGATAGTCTCAGATTGCCCTGTATTGGGTTGGACCACCACAAGTCATCAGGAGTTGTGAGGGTTAAGGTTATATATAGGTGGGTAAGCTGTAGGGGTGTGTTCCCTGTGTAGAATGCCATGGTGAATCAGAACACTCGGCATTCATTCCAGCTGGTTTCAGGATGTTCCTATGCAAGCACCTTCCAGAAGGTAAGCAGTACGTAACAGAATTAAACTTTCCTGTTCTCAGCTGAATGCTCTGCCACAGATAGCTTTTTAGAATATAAGTGTGATATGCAGTGATTTATTTTGTATCCACTGGGATCTTCACTCTGCTGTTATAGCAAATGAATCTCATGTAGTGTCCAGAGCACTGTATAGTCCTGTTGTGTTGGATGAGTTTTAGTTAGTAAGGCTGTGGAAGTGGACAAGATGCTTGGATCAGTCAGGACGACCACTTGTATTCTGGATCCTTGCTCTACATGGATGATAAAAACTAGCAAGGAGGGGATAGGTGGCTGAGCCAGGGAGATAATGAATGCCTCCTTGTGAGAGGGGATGGTCCCTGCCTGCTTGAAGAGGCAGTGGTAATACCACTCTTCAAGAAACCCCTCATTGGATTCAGAAAATCTACTGGCCAGTTGCTAATCTCCCCTTCCAGGGCAAGGTTTTTGACTGGGTGGTCATAGACCAGTTCCAGGAAACTGATTGTCTAAATCCATTTTACAAAAAAAATGATAAATCTTCAATTAAACTTTTACAAACCATAATTTAAAACAAACAGAAGGTTTAAACCACAATAGAGTCCAGGGGTCAGCAAACGTTTTCAGCAGGGGGCCGGCCCACTGTCCCTCAGACCTTGTGGGGGACTGGACTATATTTTGGAAGGGGGGAAAATGAACAAATTCCTATGCCCCACAAATAACCCAGAGATGCATTTTAAATAAAAGCATACATTCTACTCATGTAAAAACACCAGGCAGGCCCTACAAATAACCCAGAGATGCATTTTAAATAAAAGGACACATTCTATCCATGTAAAAACATGCTGATTCCCTGACCATCCGCGGAGCAGATTGAGACAGAGATTGGGCCAGATCCAGCCCCCGGGCCTTTGTTTGCCTACCCATGGAATAGACTAAAACGAATTACAACTCATACAAACTTTCTATACATCTGTGTAGCTTTGTCTAAATAAAAATGTCTGCACAGAAAAGAGACTCTTCATAGTTAGGTAGACTTTTCTATCTCAAGGGCCACAGGTCCCCCCTGCCTGCAACGACCAGTTGGTACAGAAGGAATAAGATTACAGTGGTGCCTCGCAAGACGAAAAGAATCCGTTCCGCGAGTCTCTTCGTCTTGCATTTTTTTCGTCTTGCGAAGCAAGCCCATTAGCGGCTTAGCGGATTAGCGCTATTAGCGGCTTAGCGGGCTTAGCGGATCAGCTGATAAGCGGCTTAGCGGCTTAGCGGATCAGCTGATAAGCGGCTTAGCAGCTTGGGAAAAGGGGGGGGAACCCTGCAGGAACTCGCAAGACATTTTCGTCTTGCGAAGCAAGCCCATAGGAAATTCGTTTTGCGAAGCACCTCCAAAACGGAAAACCCTTTCGTCTAGCGGGGCACCACTGTATAATTCAGGTATCCAGGCCCCAGTCTGTACAGAGCTTTGGGTACCAGTGACTGTTCGAGTTATTTTGGTACCTGAGGCAAGAAATTGCACAAATTCTAAGGCTGTGTAAAATTTCCACCCTTGCCCCCCAACCTGAGAAGATCCAGAAGAAAGCCAGCCAGGATACAGACCCAAATCACCTTATGGTGCAGTGGGGTTAATATTGAATTAGTCTTAATTTAGAGTCCAAGTAAATATATGGTCAGATATAGGAACAAACCAAGATGCTACTAACAAGAAATTAATTGTTTCAATACACATTGAAACAGACTTGAAACAGTCTTGAAGCCCATACTGAAGGGAGGTTTCAACCTTGTGGACTTTTCTCCACTCTTAGAAGGATGGGTGGGGAAATCCAAAATTGACTTTTCTTTACTTATACCTCTGTAAGTCCAATACAGGTCACTGGATTCTATTCTAATTTCTTGGGGTTTCTATAACTAAGGGTTATGCTCAATCATTTTGTTTTGTCCTTTTAAATGACACTTATTTCTTTAGATTTAGGGGTGTGAATGTATTAGGGTACTAGGATTAAAAGAAACCTGTGACTGTACTGCATTGCACTGATTAGATTGTAGCAACTGAGACCTCTTTTTTCCAAGACCACAGTGTAATAAAAGTTTGCTTTTGAAATTCTCTGTGTTGTGAATTTCTTGGTTTGGAATTGTTTAGGCACACATTCAAGGCATCATGTGTTTGACTCCCACAACATATCCACCTCTCACGTGTGTGTGTTTTGGGGTTCATGGGTGTATCATGTATGCACACATGTTCCTAAAGGCACATGTAATATTGGTGGTGGACTGCCTGAGCACTTGGGAAATAGTATAGCCACAAATTAACTTGCTAATCTTGTCATCCACTTAATAACATGTCCTTCCTTCCCTCCTTCCTTCCTGATAGGTACAGTGGGATATTATTCAATTGCTGGAGGTGGTGAGATCACACATTTGGAAAACTTGTGGGGGAATCAAACCCTTGTTTCTTACCACCATTTTTGATCCCTTGCCATCTACCCAGGAAACCAAACCAGAAGTCAAACCAACACACAGTGCACCCTTGTGGACTGCTGTGTAGCATGTTCCTTAGTGACAAATAATTACTTTTTTCTCTAGCTCCCCAAGAGCAGAAAGAGCAGATAAGGCACCAATTAATGCAGTCCCCTTTCAAAAAGAACGAGCAATTAATCACACACAAACACACGCTCTATTTACTCTTGACTTGCTGGTCAGCCTTTGGAGCAGATAGATCATCACCAGAGATGTCTCATAGGCAGCAGATGGAACCGGATCAATCAGCTCCAAACTGGTGCTGATCCTGAGTAGAAGAAATTGCTGCTGAAAACCTCAAGAAATATCTGCTGGGATTTGCAGGTGGGTGAAAAAATAGATGAGGGTGTATTGGATTTTTCCAAAACGCAGGTGCGAAATTCTGCGGAAGATGACATATTGCAGACTCCTCCAAGGAGCTGTCCAGCAGTTTCTATCTGCTGATCTGCTTTCTCCCCCTCTCTGTCTCCAGCGCTCCACATGCCTCCTATTGGTGGCTAGATTGTTTATGGGCATAGAGGCAGCATAGAGACTGGTCATCATTGTTAGGATGTGGTTCTCCATCCAGAACACTGGAAACTATATATAATACCTCCAGTATCGAAGGTGGCATGTGTCTCAATGCTGGAGAACAGTGGAAGATGGCTGTTGCTGCTTTCAAGTTCTGTTCCTGGGTTTTTCATAGGCATCTGTTTGACTGCTGTCAGAAGACAGAACACTCAGCTTACCACAGCCTGATCTGGGATGGATTCGTCCCAGCATACTGTTGGAATACTGAGGTTAGGGAAGGGGTGTTCCTTTCTAAGGGAGAATATAAGGACATGAGAACTCAGAACTACCTTTCCAGGTCAGACACTGGCTATTATACACATAGCAATTCATTCCATTTCCCCAGTGTTTCCCTGACTGTTAATTTTCACATTCCATTATACAATGTAAAAACCACATCCAGAACTATAGAAGGGTATATGTTTAGCCCTCGTTTCCGTATTATTTGCAAAGGTTTTTTTTTTTTTTTGGCAGCAAACAGCACAGAAATTAGCACCAAAGTTTTGCTATGTTCAACTATAGTTCTGGAAGTAGCTTTTATGTCGTGTGAAAGCTCAAATATAATGTGGAAATGAACAGTTAGAGAAATGACAGAGAAATGGAATAAACTGACAAGTGAATGCAACTTATGACCAACTAGCTGAGTACTCTTTCAGCTGCAGGAAAATGCAGGAGGGGAGAGAATGCTTTTCTGCGCAGGTCTGGTTTGTGGGTTTCCCAAAAGAGTCTGTTTGGGCACTGTGAGAGTAGTACACTGGATTAGATGAGCCATTGGCCTGATCCAGGAGGGTTCCCTGGTCTTCTTTAAGGGGGGAAACAAAATCCACCTCAAAACAGCCCAGTGAGACTGAACATGCCCAGTGGTCACAAGAGTTCTAACATCCTTTTCTGGGATTGTGTGGTGGCAGTGGGGAGATGGAAAACTGGGAGGGGGAGAATGGAGGGGAGAGATGGGTAGCTGGGTAGCTAGGACACAAAGACACTCCACAGAGCAACATTTTCTTCTCTTTTCTATTAACGTCTACAAAATTAGATCCGTCAGAGTGTCACCAAGAATAGATAACTGTGGCAACTCTTTCATTTCCAACAACCTTTTATGTGCAGGGAACAAGGGTTCAAACAACTGTGAGGAGGGAAAAGATCTGGGTTCAAACTCACCACCCCACATTTATTGAAATATACCTTATTAGAAAGGGGGGGGTGGAAACAAGGTCAAAGATAGATGTGAAAAGGGAGGAAGAAGCAAAAGTTAAACCTCAGTTGGGCGTACAATTTTAAGGCCAGTCTTTAAACAGCACAATAGGAGTGGATGCAGTTTAGTAATGAAAGTAGACAAAGGGGTACATTCAAAGTCTGTCAGATCTGCTTCTCACAGTGCTGAGATCCACTTTCTTTCACCTGACCCAGTAGTGATGGTGGTGGTGCTAAATAAAAGCTGCATTGTGAGGGCACAGCTCCTGCTTTCTTCTTCATGGTCTCCTCCAGAGGCTAACATCCCCCTAGAATCTTATTCAATCTCCTCCTTCAGGAGCTCTGAAGAGTTCCAATGGTCTTTCTGTGCTCCAGGCACCCCACAGGGTTATATTGCCTTTTGGAAAATGGTCTGTTTCTTAGGAAAATGTATAGTTGGTGTGCGGACAAAACTATAGGAAGAAGGACAGTATATTTTAGAGGAATTGATAAGATGGGGAAGGGGCCTAGCTCAGTGATGAACCATCTGCTCTGCACTCAGAAGGTCCCAGGTTTGATCCCCAGAATCTCCAAATAGAGTTGTGAATTTTCTCTTGTCTGAATCCCTGAAAAGCCGCTTCCTGTCAATGTAGACAAGTACTAAGCTAAATGGACACTATCTAACCCAATATATGGCAGCTTCTGATCTTTCTAAAAGACAAAAAAAAAACTACACTAGTTTTCTGAAGAAATATAAAATTGACTTTCTCCTTTCTCAATGAACTTGCATTCCCACACATTTTATTATGGGAATTTCACCCTTTGGTATTTACAGGGGCAGGAATTCAATTCATTCTGTTATTGGCATACAAAAGATGAGGTGAAGTCTGTACAGTTCAACCGCCCTGAGATCTTTGAATGAACGGTAGTATATAAATTTAAATATAAAGAGGGGGGAAATAAAGAAAAGACCTCAAAAGGAAAAAAAATGGGGGGGAAAGGAAAGGAAAGTCAGTGGGGCATGGGAGAAAGAAAAGAAATAAAAAAAAATATGTTGGGAAGTTACTTCATTCCCATGACTCCTATTACTATCTCTCTATCTCAGTTTGCTTGTTTATGTTTAACCTTTGCAATTCACCTTCTTTCAGAACCTGCACTAGTTTCATTTGTTCATCTATTTTCTGCAACATTCTTTCTCTATTTCTCAAGCATTGATTTGATATACTTTTTTTACTCTAATAATGTTACAAAACGTGGTCCAGAGTGCCTTCTTTTATTCAACTCCCTTCTTTATTCAAAACATGAGGGAGTATGATTGTAAGTCTCTCAATATGGTGTCCATTTCTAAGCAATTTATCACTTGTCCAGTACCTAAACCTGATGGTTTCTTTGACACGCAACTGATGGACTTGAGCAAACTGCACCTTGGATAGTCAGCCTTTCTTTTTTGTGGCATGTATGATTTAGTCATTGCTCCAACTATGACTCAATGTAAGGCAGTAACATATAAATAAATCAAAGACAGGAAACCTATGACCCTTCAGATGTTGGTAGGACTCATCCACAGCCAGCCTTGTCAGTGGCCAAAGAGAAAGGAAGTTGGAGTTCCACAACACCTGAAAAGCCACATATTCTCCATCCCTGGTTCCTCATACAAACAATAGTAAGTTAGATCAGGGAACAGTCTGAATCACTATAAGTCCTGCAATAATGTCTGAACCACTCAGACTGGAGTCTCAGCACCCAGCTGAGAAGAATAACACACAAGACACACCCTTTGCTGATTTCACCTAAAACTGTGAAGCAAGTATCTCATTACTCTCTCCTTTCTGCCCAATTTTCACAGTGATACACAAGGAGGGAATGGTGTGGTCAAACCAGACCATGACAACCGAGTTTGTCCTACTGGGCCTCTCTGAAACCAGGGAATTCCAACTCATCTTATTTGTCTTCTTCCTCTTCCTCTACATTGGTACTCTCTTCAGCAACACTCTCATCATCTTTGCGATTTTCAGGGATCACCGTCTTTCAGACTCACCCATGTTCTTTCTGCTGGCTCATTTGGCTTTCCTGGACCTCTGCCTGTGCTCCTTTGCCACTCCAAGATCTCTCTTTGATTACCTTGCCCAGCACCATGTCATCTCCTTCCATGGCTGCATGACACAAATCTTCTGCCTCCACTTCTTTGGAGGCATTGAGATGCTCCTGCTGATTGTTATGGCCTATGACCGGTATGTGGCCATCTCCCATCCTCTCCGCTATGCCTCACTCATGAACCGACGCCATTGCATGGCACTTCTCCTTGCCTCCTGGGCTGGTGGGCTCCTCCATGCTACTGTGCAATTGGCTTTCATCATTAATGTGCCTTTTTGTGGACCCAATCAGGTGGACAGCTTCTATTGTGACCTCCCCTTGGTCATCAAGTTGGCCTGCACTGACACCTACCCCCTGGAGGTCATGATGGTCACCAACAGTGGCATTTTGTCACTGGTGTGTTTCATTGGCTTGCTTCTCTCGTATGGATTCATTCTCTACACAGTCTGCTCCCGGGGTCCCTCTGAAGGGACCACCAAGGCTGCCTCCACTTGCACCTCTCACCTCATCGTGGTCACCATGTACTTTGGACCTATTATGTTTATTTACTTGCGTCCGTACACCCGGTTCATGATTGATAAGGTACTCTCTGTCTTCTACACTTCCATCACCCCCTTGCTGAACCCAGCTATCTATGCTTTGAAGAACAAGGAGATGAAGGCTGCATTGGGAAGTCTTTTGTCAAGGCTTTCTGGGCAGGTTTCCACTCAAGGCCAGGCCCGCCGTTAGGCAGCTTGCAGAGGCCCCCTGTGACGGCTGACACAAAAAAGCAGCAAACTTTTATTTTATTTACAGTTATTTATGCACACAAGGTTGGGTAAAGTGGACAGGGATAAGTTTTCATCCTTCTCTCCTAATTCCAGAACCCGGGCTCATCCAATGGGGCTGAAAAGGAAGCACTTCTTTACACAGCACACTGCTGAACAAGCGAACTTACTACCACAAGCGAAAAATACACATGGACTTAAAAAATTAGCACTGAGATCCAGCGCCAGGACCTTCTGGCAGTTCCCTCATTGCGAGAAGTGAGGTTACAGGGAACCAGACAGAGGGCCTTCTCGGTAGTGGCGCCTGCCCTGTGGAACGCCCTCCCACCAGATGTCAAGGCAATAAACAACTATTTTACTTTTAAAAGACAACTGAAGGCAGCCCTCTTTAGGGAAGTTTTTAATGTCTGATGCTGTACTGTTTTTAATATTCAGTTGGAAGCCGCCCAGAGTGGCTGGGGAAACCCAGCCAGATGGGCGGGATATAAATAATAAATTATTATTATTATTATTATTATTATTATTATTATTATTATGTAACAAATATCAGCACCCTTCCATAATAAACCCTCTCTTGTTTTCTCCTTTGTCAAAATATTCTCCACTCACTATTTGCAAGGAAATGCCCTTTAAGAATTGCTCTCCTTCAGGCAAGAGCAAGGAACCTGTGACCCTCCAAATATTGCTAGACCACAACTCCCATCATCTTTGACCATTGGACATGCTGCCTGGGGCTGATGAGGATTGAAGTCCAACAGAATCTGGAGAGTTACAGGTTCCCTGTGCCGGCCTTAGGTCACCTTCCACACATCTGTGTTTAATGCCCGGCACAGCACTTAACAGCCAGTCAAAACTTTCACTCCTTCACAGCCACTAGCCCAGGGGTAGGCAACCTGAGGCCTGTGGGCCGGATCTGGCCCAATCGCCTTCTCAATCTGGCCCACAGACGGTCTGCGAATCAGCGTGTTTTTACATGAGTAGAATGTGTGCTTTTATTTAAAATGCGTCTCTGGGTTATTTGTGGGGCATAGAAATTCATTCATTTCCCCCCCCCCCAAAGTATAGTCTGGCCCACCACATGGTCTGAGGGACAGTGGACCAGCCCATGGCTGAAAAAGGTTGCTGACCCCTGCTCTAGCCTACCTAAATGGAAGTGAAATCTTGAAAAAACAGCAGCATATTCAAAGCCTTCAGACCGGCTTCGGTGTATTCCAATCTGGCCATTTACGAAGCATCAATGCCTCCTAGTGGCCATTTAGTCTCATTTATTTTTGGACATTCCTTTGCATGAAGCTCACAAATGTTATCTTAGTTGTTTCTGCAACTGCCTTGTAAGGTGGATCATTAATGTGACATATGTGCTAAGTTTGTGAGCATGATGCTTTGAATAAAATAGCTATGGTGATTTTTTGTGGATAGGCCATCAAATTCACTCCCACAAGATGGTTATCAACCTCGATGACTTTAAAAGAGGATTATACAAATTCATGGAGGTTAAGGCTATCAGTGGCTACTAACCCTAACAAGTATGTTCTACCTCCACAGATGGAGGAAGTATGCCTCTGACCAGTTAATGGAAATAGCAAGTTGGAAGGAGGCTATTGCACCCAGGTCCTGTGCAATAATCACAGGCATCCTGTTGGCCACTGTGAGAGCAGGAAGCTTTGGGCTCATTCAGCGGGCACTTACTCCTTTTGTCCTTTAAAGGGGGGAATAACCCGATGAGGACTGAACGTGCCATCAGCCACAGAATGCCAACTGCCTGTTATTGTCAGCTCCTAAGCAAATGAAAGAACAGCAGACCAAACAAGACAGAAGTCAGCTCACCTATAGCCTAAGCTAAGAGTTTCCTAACTTAGAGCAAAGTCACGCTGGTAAATTTGGAAGCCCTTGGCAGGAATGGACTTTGATAGGATGGTTGTCACAGTCTGGTTCACGGGCGATCTAAGTCCCGGCTGGAGAAGTCAGAACCGGGGGCAAGATGGCAGGGTGGGAGCAGGAACGGGAGTCCAGAAGCCAGGAAGCTAAGAGTCCGAGGATCAGGAAGCAAGGAGTCAAGGAGCAAAACGCAGCAAGGCAGGGAACGTGTTGCTGTGCAAAGAGCCAAAGGGAAATGCTGACCTTATATCCCTTCCTGGCTCTTGCCACCAGGTGCTGTGAGTTACCAATTGGCCTCACCTGTGCGGCCACACCTTGCCTCTTCAGAACAAACTTAGGAAGGCCCCAGTCCTGCAAAGTCCTACTGGTCACAGGGCCTGGCTCCTGCATGTGCTCCTGACAATGGTGCCCTGAGCAATGACAAAATTTGGCGCCCCCTCTAAATATTTCTTATTTTCACAATAATTCCTTTCGGTAGAGTTGCTTTTTTGTGGATCTACTCAATAGGCTGACAAAAACAGAAGTTGTTGTTTTTGTAATGCACCCTCTTGGCTCAGCACCCCATGCAGGGGGACTACCTACACCGCCCAAAATCCAGCACTGCCCTTGGCCTCATTTGTTTCCCTGCTCAGTTTTTCCCTCCCTTGGGCATAGGAGGCGCAGATGCAATTTCTCAAGCTGATTTCTACTTTTTAACAAGGTCCCCAAGGTATGGAGCTGGGCTCACCTCCAGGGCCATCATGAGAACAAGTCCTGTTCTTCCTTCAGTGAGCAACATACCTCCTGGGCTCAGAGAAGATAAAGATGTGAGCAGTGATACAGACCTGAGAACGGGGCGGGGGGGGGGGATACCTTCCCTATCCCACCGAAGAATGTGGATGCTACGTTGCTTTCAAGAAACCTTCATTCTCCAGTTCCATTCTACTTTTCCTAATGCCTCCCATTCTCCCTTTATCAATGGGAACCAGGTAAGTGTCTGAGCTAGTTCTTGGCTTTGGTAATATTTTTAATCTCAGAAATCCCTTTGTCTGTGAACAACATCCATTATTCCAGAACACCAAACCTGTTCCCAACTGTATGTGTTTGCTGTCAAACCTGTTCCCAACTGTATGTGTTTGCTCCAATCTCTTGAGTATTTGGGCTCCTCCAGATTCCTCATTCATCTTGATTTGCTTGCACAAAGCTTATGCAGAAGTTAGATTGAGCATTTTTTCTGATTTGTTGTGGGGCAGTTATATAACCACAAGCAATCTAACTTCATTTGTCTTAATTTACTTGCGGGGCTTCCATGCATCTTCATGTTAACCATTTGTTCACCCCATACTTTTGAATGCAATTCCACCCCACTTTCCAAACTGCAAACAGTCCAATTCTTTTTTTAAACTGGATTTGTTGCGCTAGGACGACAGAGCCCTTAAGTCAACTTTAGTTGTGCAAACTTAAAGTTCTGTTTTGTGTTTGTCAAAATGCTGACATTTTGGAAGTGTCATTTGTTTGGAGTGTGCAAAACAGACCTAAGCAATAACAATGGGGAGGGAGGAAGTATTCCTCTACTCAACTCTAGTAAGTATCATGTTTGCTATGAAGATCCTGGTTTCCTGCAGCAATGGTGTAAAAGGTGGGCACATCTTAAACATGGAAGAAGAAGGCAAGGCAGAAAGAATATGATCTATTCTAGAAATGAATAGCACAAAAAACTGCTTTGACCTAATGCTTTAGTGTAAATTAATGCTTTGATACAGCCTCCTTGCTTCCTTAAAGGCCGACAGCTGAGGAGTTTTAGTGCATCTCTATCAAAAGATTTGCTTGACATCCCAACCAAAGAACAATGGCAAAATAATTTGATAGAATACACAGAGCTAGCATACATGACAGTTGAAATAAAGATGAAACTCTGATAAAGGATGAGTGGAAATACTTGGGAGAATATTTAAAAGATATAATATTTAAATTAACTTATGAGTAGGAATAACAGTAAGAGCAGCAGTGACCAACAATGAAGGCTATTTATAGGATAAAATGGGACACGGGTGGCACTGTGGTTTAAACCACTGTACCGCTTGGACTTGCCAATCAGAAGGTCGGCAGTTCGAACCCCATGACGGGGTGAGCTCCCATTGTTCAGTCCCAGCTCCTGCCAACCTAGCAGTTCGAAAGCATGTCAAAATGCAATTAGATAATAGGTACCACTCCAGCGGGAAGGTAAATAGCATTTCCATGCACTGCTCTGGTTTCTCCAGAAGCGGCTTAGTCATGCTGGCCACATAACCCAGAAAAACTGCCTGCGGAAGCAGACAAACGCCGGCTCCCTTGGTCTGTAAAGCGAGATGAGCACCGCAACCCCAGAGTCGTTCGTGACTGGACTTAACTGCCAGGGGTCCCTTTACCTTTACCTATAGAATAAAATAGGATGAAAGAAAAGGATATGCAGCAAAATAAAGTTTGATTAGAATGCCATGGGGGGGGTGGACTGGGAAGTCCTGAGAAAAGAGGGGTCTTGTTTAGTTTTGTTTTGGAAAATGCATGATGTATATTCAAAGTCTTATAAATGTATAAAATAAATAAGGAATCAATTCCAAAAAAGACTTGCTTGTCTGAAATTCAGTTTATTGAACATTCACCCTGATTGGTTTGTACAAAGCTTATGCAGAGGTTAGACTACAGCCGGTCTTGATTGAGTATTCATTCTGATTTGCTTGTGGGGTGTCCTCCCTTAATTATCTGTTCATCCCACACTTTTCATGCGTTTCCATTTCACTTTCCAAATTGCAAAAAGTCTGTTGTTCGAAATGGATTTGTTGTGCAAGGGCAACAGAGCCCTTTATTCCACTTCAACTGCACAGACCTAAACTTCCAGTATGCACTTGAATCCATCCCTTAAAATACTAACAGTCCACTCATATAGTAACCTTCTCATGTTAGTTTTACATACAAAGAGACAAGCAGAACACAGTGCATACAAGTGCACAGAACCAAGCGGGCAGCTCAGACTGCATCAGGCATTCAGAAAGCGGCTAGGGCAGCCCATCACTAAATTTGCACCACACTTTAGCAAGCTATTCCTAAACTCCTAACCCACACTCC